TATTGTCACAGTTACCTAACAGAACTATTGGAATATAAGTCAGACAAAAGAAATTATTATTTATCTGAATATCATCTGTGATGGGAAAAGAGGGAACATAGAAAGGGAAATGTTGCTTGATAAATAGAATATTCAAAGTTGGATCAAAGTATCAAAGTCCTCCTTTTTGTGTACACACAAACACACACACACACACACACACACACACACACACACACACACAGAGACACACAATTTTAAGACCTTGACAGCATCTCCCTATGTAGTTCTAGTTGGTTGGTCAGAAACTTACTATGGCGGGCCTCCAACCCACAGAGACCCACCCACCTCTGCCCTCTGAGAGCTGAAAAGTGGTACTTTTGAAGTAAGCCAAACAATTTCCCCAAGATTATAGTTGTGGAAAGTGTCCTACTCCCTTGAAAGCCCCAAGCTAAGGCATCATTCTTTGCTGACAGTTTCTCACACACAGAGAAGACATTCCAAGGTGTGTCCTAATACTATAGAAACTGGTGATAGTATCTGTGATCTGAGAGACCCTTAATTAACATCAGGCCAATTCTTGTCTTCTGACTGGCTCCGGCTTCCTCTGCCCTCTAGACAGCTGATGTGGGCTGAACTGGATTCTCCATATGTTCAACTTCTAACAGCTAGGAATGTGACCTGGGAGAGGAATAGTTTCTCCAGATACCTTCAAGGAGCAGGTTCAAGTGGACCCTAAGCCAGATACTGGTGTTCTCATAGAGACCAGGGAGAGGAAGTCTCTACAGATACCTTCAACTAGCAGATTCAAGTGGACCTTTAGCCAGGTACTGGTGTTCTCATAGGAGGAGAGAAATTTAGTCACAGAGAAGAAAAGACATACCAAGGACAGACTGAGATAACAAAGCCATGCATGTGCAAGCTAAGTACCACCAAGGACTCCAACATCCCCCAGGCCCTAAGAAAAGGCAAGGACAAATCAGGACCTTCCCAACCTCTTAATTTCATATTTAGGACTGCTAGAACTCTGAGGAATACCTTTCTGTTGTTTTAAGCTCCCGGGTGTGTGCTAACCGGTACAGCAGCCTCAGCAAGTTAGTGCCATCAATTAGTACTGGTCCCATTGTGTGTGCCTACCTCAGATTAATCATGGATCCTTTGCCCACTGACTACCTATTTCTTGGAATCTTTGGGAAGGGACAGAAGGAGGCATCAGGCTGTCCTAACTTGAGCCCTGTGAATTGCCCTAGCTGTTCTGTGTACCACAAGGAAGAGCTGGCAGGAGTCCTCATAGAATGATATAGTAGGAATTTGATTTCTGATTTACCTCTCCTTTGGGGAGGGGGGGGTCATGTGGCATATGTTTGCACATCTAACAACAACCCTAACAATCACTCATTTTCCTTTACTATTTTATCCCCACCTCTTCTGAAAGTATCAAGATAATTTTTTTTTTACAACTTCACCAGAAAGAGGGAAAGTAAATTAATCTTGTTAAAAGTTTCCCAACTTCCTACTTTCTCTTCTAGCAGGTTCAGAGTAGCTGGATTTATGTTGAGGTCCTTGATCCACTTGGACTTAAGTTTTGTGCACGGTGATAGATATGGATCTATTTGCAGCCTTCTACATGTTGATATCCAGTTATGCCAGCACCATTTGTTGAAGATGCTTTCATTTTTCCATTGTGCACTTTTGGCTTCTTTGTCAAAAATTATATGTTCATAGGTATGTGGATTAATGTCAGGGTCTTCAATTCGAAATCCACAAAGGTACCCCCACAACAGACTGCTGGCAATGGTCGAGAGACAGCCCAAACTGACCTACTCTGGTGATGGGATGGCCAAACACCCTAATTGTTGTGCTAGAAACCCCATCCAACTACTGAGGGATCTGGATGCAGAGATCCATGGCTAGGCCCTGGGTGGATCTCTGGGAATCCAATTAGCGAGAATGAGGAGGGTTTATATGAGCGAGAATTGTTGAGACCAAGATTGGATAAAGTACAGGGACAAACAGCCAAACGAATGGAAACACATGAACTATGAACCAATGGCTGAGGGGTCACCAACTGGATCAGGCCCTCTGAATGGGTAAGACAGTTGATTGGCTTGATCTGTTTGGGAGGCATCCAGGCAGTGGGACCGGGTCCTGTGCTCATTGCATGAGTTGGCTCTTTGAAACCTGGGGCCTATGCAGGATCGCTTGGCTCGGCCTGGGAGGAGGGAACTGGACCTACCTGGACTGAGTCTACCAGGTTGATCTCAGTCCGTGGGGGAGGCTTTGCCCTGGAGGAGGTGGGAATGGGGGATGGGCTGGGGAAAAGGTGAGGGGGCTGGAAGGGGGAGAACAAGTGAATCCGTGGCTGATATGTAAAACTGAATTGTATTGCAAAATAAATATAAAAAATTTTTAAAAATTAAAAAAACAAACAAACAAAAAGAATATAATATCCCAGGGAAAAAAAAGTTTCCCAACTTATTTCTGGTGTATTGAAGGCAAGAACTGAGACTCAGGACAAACTGATGCTCAGTGACAGAGAATTCATATTGATGCATGTTTATCAGAGTCTGTCTACATCCTTTACACAGCAACTTCTCTATGTAAACTAGGAAGAGAAATGGGCAATATACTGTAACACAAATTGCTAAACAATCTTATTAATAAGAAAAAACAGGAGCCAGATATTGGGGCGAAAGCTGAAAGATCAGAAGGATAGAACAAGCCAGCTACAAGTTCTTACCGCTAAGAAATCCCCAGCCCAAGAAAGCTACTTCCTGTGTACTCATGCCTTACATACTTTTCTGTGCCCTGACATCTTACTTCCTCTCTCTGCCCAGTGACATCACCTCCTCTTTCTGACCAGCTCTTTTACTTCCTGTCTGTCTGTACAGACCTCCAGACCTCTATGGTTAACTAATGCTGGGATTAAAGGTGTGTGCCCCAATGCCTGCCTCTGTTCCCAGGGTGGTCTTCAACTCAAAGAGATCTGGATGAATCTCTCCCTCCATAAGGCTAGGATTAAAGGCATGTGCTATGACTGCCTGAGCTCTATGTTTAATATAGTGACTGGCTTTTTCCTTTGATCCCTAGGCAAGATTTATTTATTAGAGCACAAATAAAATATCACCATAGTATGCAGAAAACGTTCTCATTATTTTATTTGAATTCCAATGTTGATAGTTTCTCTATGGGTATTCTAGGCAATGTGGTCCCCATGAGATAAGGGTTTATTTTAACTCTAGTATGGTGTGTATCATTCTTGATAACTCTAGAAAATGGACAGGGGGATCTGAAGAGAGATATTAGAAACCAGAGAGGAAGAAATTAACAGTTTTAAAATGAGAGAAAGGACAAAAATAATCAGAAACACCTCAAATGCAGAGGCTTCAGTTCTGTCTCGCGGTACTAGGTTCAAACACCAGGGAAACTGAGCACAGCTTAGAAAACCCCACTGCAGTGAATGTGAGTCAGCCAACTCCCGTCTCAGCTGTGCAGTGGATATCATCATTTGGAAGAAACATACAGATTTAACAAGAGAATTCTGGAAGGTAGAGAGTACAGAATGAAGCCTTCATCAGTTGCTCCCATGGAGGTCACAGTTTCTAAGGGCTATAATGATGGCCTTCTTATCCTGATTTTTCAGTTGAGAGTCTACTCAAGTAGGAAATCATGGCCAGCTAGGAGACACATGGTCAGTTTTCTTATAGAGGAGGTTTTGTGGAGAAGCATAAGGGCCCACTTGACAAGTAGTAGGCCTTCCATGAGTTCCTTCTCAAGTTCTTACCTCCACTCTGCCCCCTAGCAAAATCTACAGAGCAACAAGGACTGCCAGCCTCTCTGGAATCTTCCAAAGAATAAAGGAGGATTCATTCTCTGGGTGAGAGAGGTCACTTGGCTGGTGACTTAGCACACTGGATGAGCGGAGCATCTCAGTTCTGGCTCATCCTCACACCTGGCTCTACGCAGGACTGGATTCTGGATTCTTTTAGCCAACAGGCAGGGCAAAGCTTCATTCCTTAATATGCTGTGACCTTCTTTCCTGGTGCCAAGCCACTAGGGAAGGACCCTATGAAAGACCAGAGAAACCATGGGCTCTTTGAGGTAACATGTTCAGCGGCAGTGGGCTGTGAAGCTTGTAGTCAATGGACACAAACTAATGATGTGAAGTGTTGACAAAAACCACAATAAATATTTTGTGTTTGTGAACCAACACACACACACACACACACACACACACACACACACACACACACACACACGAACTCACACACATACAAATATGACTGGATAGTTATAAAAAGACAAAATTTTCAAAATTAATGTTTATTTTATTCATTTTAATTCATTAGGTTTTCAGCCTTTGTTATTTTCATAGAGCCTAGTGTGTGAACAGTTTGAGAGACTGTGGAAGTCAAACTCCCATGTCATCTGTGAGGTAAAGTATTCTGTCTTTGCTAGAAAGGCAGTGGGAATTGGGAGAGCGACAGGAATTGCAGACTCGCCTTTCCTGGGGTTCCCAAAGGGAAAGAAATTCCCATTTAAGGAGCCCTGAGAATGTGAGGAGGAAAGCCCAGGATGACTGTGGCCCCCAAACACTTACACAGTAGTTCAACTGATGGAGGACAATTTCTGCATACCAAAACGGCTTTATGTATTCCTGGGTTTTGTTTTTTGTTCTTTTTTACATAGGGTCTAGCTCCCTATGCAGCCCAGGCTGGCCTAGAATAAAGTACTCTTTCATGTTAATAAAATATGGTCTTTTATTGAGTCTAAAATTCTGTTTTGTTGTGTTTTATAATCTGAAGAAGAGAAGGTTTTACTGTTACTATCAGTTTGACTTGATACTTACACATTATTATTGATTAGCATGATTGCTGAGTCCTCCTTGTCCCCATGCCAAGCAGCTGTTCCTCTGCCCCTATCTTCCAGGAAGGTCACACCAAGTGCAAGGTCGGTCCCACATTTAAGTTGCCACTGCAGGTGCTCCCTACAGACACTCCAGCTGGACTGAGGACCCAGCCATGTCTCTGCTGGCTGCCATGCTGCTGCTGCTGCTGCTCTGGGGTGAGACATCCTGGGGCTGAGAATGTCGAGGTCAGGTGTGGTACGAACCAATGGGAACTCACAGACTCTCTCCCTACAGGTTTCACGCTGGACCCAGCAACTGCTGAAGTCTTTGGTAAGTTCAGAGATAGGGCCTGGGAATCTAGGGCTAACAGCAGAAAGCTAACACTGGCTCTTCTCCACTCCAGATAGTAACGCTGAAGCTTTCCTATGGGTAGACCCTCAGTCCCTGCTGGAACCCTGGGCAAACGTGACACTGACCTGTCAGTCTGCTTTCCCTACCAAGGACTTCCAGCTGATCATGAATGGATGGCGCCGGCATAGAGTCAACCATGATAAGTATGTCATGTCACACCAGTTCCCACTGGGAGCAGTCACAAGTGACAACAAGGGTGTCTACCGCTGCCGCTGTGGCGTGGAGCCCCCAACTCCTATACTGACAGACCTGAACAGGTGGACAATGCTAAGCAATCTTGTGGAGGTGACAGGAACAGGTAAGCAGGGCCATAATGGGGTCAAGGAGGTAGTGGAGGGAAGTAGATGGATGAGCCTCCATCCATGTCACCTGGTATCTCCTAGTCTCAGTTTGCTCATCTGTCAAGTGGGAATGTTTATGCTGTCCCCAGAGGCTTAGGAGTAACGAGTCTCATAGAGTGCTGGGGACAGGCTTGGCACACAGTAGTGTTCTGCACCCGTTGAACCTTAACCCCATCGCACACCCCGTGCTGCCCCGGCCTCCCTTAAATTTTCTGAGTCTGGAGTCCACACTCTCACTTTCTCTGGAGTGAGACTGAAGCATTCACCCACCCTGCCCTCCCCCTCCCCCTCCACAGAGCCCTTGCCCGCACCCTCGCTTTTGCCTGACCCAGTGCCCTGGATCATACCTCACGTGGGCACATACCTACTGTGCCACACTGCAATGCGGGGTGTAACTTTCCTACTGAGGAAGGAAGAAGATGATAATTTCCTGAGGGTGAGGAAAGCCCAAGACAATGTAGTAGCCAGGTTTATAGTCCGACATCCTGGTAACTACCGCTGCAGCTACCAGACTCACACAGAAGGCACCCCCTCTGAGCCCAGTGCTGCTGTGACCATCACGGAGTATGGTGAGTGTTGAACCCCAACAATGAAGAGCTAGAGTAAGACTGGGTGCATGATGTCCAGAGAAAAACCAGCTGTCCCTGAACTGTCACTGGAGGACAGAGGTTTGGGGGGCTGGACAACGGGCAGTTCTCAGTGGGACCCTACAAAACAGGGTACCCTGGACTCCTGCCTCAGTGTTTGTCCCTGCCTTGCAGCTAAACCACCTGCGCCCATGTTGGCTTTCTTGGAAACTTACCAAATGGTCCAGCACCCCAGCTCAAATGCGGTCCTTGCCTGCAAGGCTCCTCGGAATGTATTTGAATTCCAACTCAGGCAAGGGGAGAAGGTGCTAAACATTCATGGGGTCAGACCTCTCCGAGAACTCAGCCTGTACTACCTGAACTTTACACTGATGGATGACCAAAGCCCTTTAACCTGCCGCTACCGTCTACACAGAATGTTGGATACTTGGTCCGAAGACAGTGAACCCAAAGAGCTAATATGGAGTGATGGTGAGCTTCACAGCTGGGCTGCAGACAAGAGGGGGCTTGAAAGTTGAAGATGGTGACTAGAAGCAAGCAGCATGGGGACCCCAAAGCAGAACCTCTAAATCTTAACATATCACTTTACTCAGCCTCGCTTTCCCAAGCTTTCAACAGGACAATTAATACAGCAACCTTGAACCGGCAGAGAACTGGGTCACCAAAGAAGTCTGGCACAGAGTTTAATAGGCCTCCACATGTCAGGGTATCTTAGCAGGGATGAGGAGGCAGGCTTGCTGCCTGCTCAGAGCTTGGCAAGGCTGGGATGTTGAGGGGGTGGCACAGTGTTAAGAAGTGTCGTCTTTTGTGCCCTAGAGAAGCAGGCAAGAGAGGTGGCAGGGAGGTCACTTTAAGCAGAAGGCTAAGCTAGAGCATAGGCTGGACCATCCTTGGGTCCCTTGCCATGCCTTCAGGCTGAGCCAATGTGTCTGATCCTCCACAGAGACACAACCTGCACCAGTGCTCACTGCAGAGCCTTCGAGTCATGACCTTGAACCTGGCTCAACCGTGCATCTTCGATGTACTGCACCCAAGGCTGGCCTCCGTTTTGGCCTACTACGCCAAGGTGACACAGCTTACCCCGTGATCCAGATGTTGAATCCATCTGGGACCGAAGCTGTCTTTGAGCTGCACAATATCTCAACAATAGACTCTGGCAACTACAGTTGTGTCTACATGGAACAGGAACCGCCCTTCTCAGGATCTGCTCCCAGTGAGCTCTTGGAGCTGCATGTGAATGGTGAGCTGAGCATGGACATAAGGGTGGAAGGTCCAATGTGTTACTAACTTAGGGACCAGAGTTCCTGGGCTGTAATCCTTTGAAGGGTCAACCTTTCTGGGTGATGCCTTAATCAGGTGTTAGGACCTTGAAGTGGTCTCCCCCAGGTGAAGCATGAAACCCTGGTTTGCTTTCTATATTCTCAGGTGGAAGGCATCTCATAGAACCATGAGAACCATGTTCAATGGTGATAGGATCCAAGTTTTTTATGGTCAAATGCACCCTCCTGTGCCTCAGTTTCCCTGGGAAGCATTTTTGCCAAGTCCACTCATACCATTGACTGCCTAGAGCTGATGTGTAGTTTTTACAGACTCTAGAGTGCCTGGGCATTATAGTTCCTTCAATTTCCTCATTAAGGTCTCAGTTGGTCAGAGTTCACCCACAAAAGACTACACAAAGCTTCAGCCATACTTAGGTTCTGACCTCAGACCTTTGAATTGTGCTTCTGCTACAAGAACTTTTCTGAAAGTTCTCTTCAACACTCCAATGCTTTTGGCATCCCACAACATCGTGGGACAGACCAGGACCTGGTAGATCTCAAAGACATTGTGATTTGGCGGTATAGACACCTAGAAGAGATAGAGATTTCACAGGAGCAGTGTTTATGGCATAAGGAAGGAGAAGGAGCTGCCGGGCTCAGAGTGGACAGTGCAAAGGAAGTAGCTAGAGCAGACCTGCCATAGGGCCTGGCAGAAGTTGCAACACCCTCATTGCCATCCTCCCTCACAGGGCCACCACCCAAGCCAAAGCTCGAAGCTCTGTGGACAGGCATTGTTCGGCTGGGCCGTGAAGCCAAATTTCGCTGCCATGGCCATGCGCGCATGGTCCACATGGAGCTGCTTCGTGAGGGCTTTCACACACCCTTGTGGATGACTCAAGCAATGAGAAGCACCACAGCTGACCTGAAGCTGCCCTTCGTGGGTCCCCAACATTCAGGCAACTACAGCTGCCGCTATACCGCCATGTCACCCTTGAGCTTTGAGTCCGTGATCAGCGACCCTGTGGAGGTTACAGTAGAAGGTAAGACTTCCAGGGCTGTGTTAGGGTTTTCCCTCTTGATATTACCAGGACTGTACACGGCTTAAGTGCTTAATCAAGTGTAATGTGCAAGGACCCTGTGGCAATTTGCAGAGTTTTTTTTTTTTTTCATTCACTTTTTTTTAATCTAGAAATCTGATATGGCTGCAGACACAAGAAAAAAGGGTGTCTTTGGAAAAGGTTGAAGACTGGCAGAGCTCCCATTCTACCAGTGTAAGATGCCTCTCCTTCATTCCCCCCTGGACTCAATACACATTAAAGAAATGTTTGTTTAAAGTCTGTCTTCCACCTGTGTTTCCAGAGTGGCTGCAAATGAGGAGTGGGGGGGGGGGGGGCGGCAGTGGGGAGATGTTCTTCCAGGCCTGAGACCCTGTGTCCTAAAGAGCGTAGGTTAAAGGTTAGATCCTGAGAAGACGAGAGTGAAGGCCTGGGCCCGTGACCACATTTCTCAAAATCCCTTTCTTCGGCCCTCTTTTCTGCCTTCCTCTTAGATCCCATTCATTTCTTCCTGCTTCCAGCGGGTGTGTGCACACATCTTGGAGCTCTGGCAATGTCTACACAGCATGGAAGGGTCTCTCCCTGCCCTAGCAGTAGGTTAGAAAATGAAACATTAAAGAGTTCTGGCTGTGGTTTTATTTTTATTTTTATTTTTTACAAAGAAGCTGTGATGGAAGGCATCAGAGTGTGTCCAAATCAATGCGTTATCCCAAATGACTCACCTAGAACAAACCAGAACAACCAAACATCTTCAGAGCTGAACCAATATTTTGTTCCCTTCAAGCCTCAGTGGAGCCTGAGACTGAAGCCTGAAGTGCTGATCTCTGAAGCAGAAGTAAGGGCCCTCAGTTCAGAACCACCCTGCCTCCCTGACTTCAATCCCACAATCCCCTGTGACTCTGGTCCCCAGGATAACAGAAATACTCCATGCCTCCCTGTGACCACCATTCCTTCAGTGTCTTTGGTCAGAGGGCCCTTCCTTCTCCCTTCACCTCTCACATGCATGCTAAATGCTGACTCACGCTTCAAAGCTGAAGGGTGGATTCATTATTGTTTTTCCAACAAGTTCTAATTGGAAGTTCAGCACAATCCACAGGCCAATTTGGTTGGGGGAGATCCCAAAGATGAACAACACATGGTCCCTGTTCTTAAACATTATACAGTCTAAGGCAGGACAAATGGTTTAGTGAGTGAAAGCTCTTACTGCACAAGCAAGGCCACCTCAGGTGATACCCAGAGTCCATAATGAAATGAATAGAAAAGAAGAATGTGGTGGCATGCATCTGTAATCCCAGTGTTCCTACAGTGAGATGGAGGGAGACAGGAGAATAGAGCACCACCAGGCTTGGAGGACAGAGTGACTGAAGGAAGAGACCATCCTGCTTCAACAAGGAAGAATAAGAGAACAAACCCCCCAAAGTCATCTTCTGATCTGCGTGGACACAATCATGCACACACCCATCTGTGGGAGCCCATTCTCGGGTTCCTCATGGCTTTACCCAGCATGTCCGCATAGAGGATGATTAGGATCACGGGCCTGAGTGCAGGTGTCTGAGATGGTCTGCACTTGGCTGTGCTGGGGGAGGAGGTCTTTTGCTCCACCCCTTGGCGTCTCTATAAAAACCCTGGGGCAGAGACAGTCGGGGCCGTTGGAATAGGTTCCAGGCCCTCTCGAGGCTATCCTTTATTTTCTATCTGTTTATCTCCACGATATTCTCTGCAATAAATCCTTCTATCTAATATTTCCTGCTGCTCACACTCAAGAAAACTCTGGGGAACTGTGGGGGTGGTGGGTAAACGCCCCACAGAATGGCGCCATGAACAGGGACTAAAGAAAAAAGAAAAAAGGGACTAAAGAAAAAAAAGGGGGACTAAAAAAAGGGGGGACTAAAGACAAATGAACAGGAACTAAAGAAAAAAAGAAAAAAGGGAACTGAAAAAAAAAGGGGAACTAAAGACAAATGAACAGGGACTAAAGATAAAGGAAAATAATAGTTTTATTACAGAGTTTTTGGCGAAAGTGCTGAGTCAGCCCTGCCAGTGGATAAGGCATGCCAGTGTTATGGAAAATATATATTTTTTATATATATTATTGAGAGGCAGGGGTTTTATCCTCGAGAGAAAAGGAAAGTGGACTGGAAGGATGTCCGATGCTGCAGCGAAATTCTCTTCTGTCAAAATTTTCTATCTTGTATCGCTTTCTCAGTTTCTATCTGTGAAAAATAAGTATAAGGCATAGGGTAGTAAAATAGTGTAGGAAAAACTTAGAAGTGTAAGAATGTATAGGAAAAAATAAGTCAACTAGACAGAAAAACTCAGTTTTCTAACTTTGGGGGCTATGAACGCAAACTGGGGGAAAAAATCTTTCTTTCGGCTTTACGGGTAGTAAAAAAGCTCTTCTCTGAGCTTATGGGGAAGAAAAAGTTTCCTATGGAAGCTTTCTGACCTGGGGACAGCTGAAATGCTAAGTCCAAGCGGCAGGAGAAAGTGATTTCTCCCTGAGGCAAAAATGGGGGTGTAAAAAGCTAAAACATTTAAAGTTGGGAAGTTTTGGGAAAAGTTGGTCTTTCTGTCTTGGGGAAAAAAATCTTTCTCTTAAACTAAAAGCTTTTCTTAAAAAAATTTGGGGGAAAACTCTCTAAAAAGCCTTCATCTTTCTCAAAAGCTCTTAAACTTAAACTAAAGCCTTTAACTGTCTCAAAAAGGCAAAAATTAGAATCACCTGAAGATATTAGTATGGGGACCACCTGTGATTAGCTCTAAGGAAAAACAACAAACCTCTGAAGACAGCAAAACCTAAGTTCTTTCAAGCTTTAAAAATCCTCCCTGCAATGCAGGAGGCAGGGACAAGCTCCTAAAAACCTCTCTTCTAAGCTCTGTCTCTTCAAGCCAGTAAAAGACAGTGGGTCAGAGTACCCTGAGGGAAACGCTTGGGAGAGTGTGGGTAAAGAGCTACAGAGAGCCCAAAAGGGCAGGAAACTTTACCTGAGAAAAGCAAACGCCAAGCTTTTCAGTTACAGCGGAGCTGAGGCATCAAGGGTTTTGTTTCTGAGTGAGCATCTTTGAAAAGGTGCTCCTAATCATCCTAATGCAAAGATCCCCTGAAGCAATGCAAACTGTTACCATTGTATCCTCGCTTCTGACCAAAAACCCAGAGGTGACTGGCCAGCATCTCTGAGTTGGGGTGCATTTTGGGGATACTAGGGTTCCTGCAGTTGCAAACTTCCTGGAGCACAGAGCTGAGGCAGGAAGGTGCAGGACCCAGGGGAAGATTGCTAATGAACAAACAAATCTAAAGCCAGTGGGAACAGCACAGTTGCCCGCTTTCCTACAAGTCCCGGCTTGATAGGTCCAGAGCTGCAAAAAAAAAATCTGAGAAAAGGCTTTCCTATCAGAGTAAGGACCTTTCTGGGAAAACAGTAAAGCTGAACTGTGTCTGAAGCAGTTGTGCTGCCGAGTCAGAACGCTGTCTGGGGAAAGAGCCCAGCCAGGGCAGAACAGAACTGTCCAGGAGTAAAGCTTGCTTTTCTGTCAGAGAAAGCACCTCTTTGAGAAAAGCTTTGTTTCAACTGACTCCATGAGATGAGGGGGAGTGTAGCCCTAAGGGGTGATTGCCTCTGGCATAAGCTCTGTCCTTGAGCACCCAGACAAGCAAATGCAACCCACTGGTGGACTGGGCCAGATGAAGGCCTGATGAAACAAAACACCTGTCCTAATGGGAGTTTAGAAATGGCAAAAACCTCCCTTGTTAGATTTTCAGTCTGTACGCAAACCACACAGACCCCGAAAACAGAAACAGACAAAAAGCCTCTACTTTTCAGTAGCAGGGAAAGCCGCCACTGTAGTGTTGGAAACTGTTTCTGGGGTAGAGGGGATAAACTGAGACCAAACTGGGAACAGTCTGGGAGAAAGACTTTGAAGAAACAGAGAAGGGACATAATCCTCCCCAGAAAATGCATGACCTGAAAAAGCTGCTAGAATTTGAGGCAGATTCAGGGGGAAAAAAAAAAAAAGCCCCTACCTCCAAAGGCAGCTAGCAGAGGTACAGAGCCACAGAGAGATACCTGAAGCTCTGCATCTGGGGAAGGAAGGAACAAGCAAAATGAGATAGATCAGTGGGAGAAAATCTCTGAAAAAGCTATGGAAAAGCTGTTGTAAATGTTTTTCACTGACTGGCTAAGACAAACACAAGCCCCGAGGAAAGTTGCTATCAGAAATTGCCCACCTCAATGCGCGCTAACGCAGTTCAGGTGCAGTTCTGATTTGGGGGCCAGTGTCAAATGAAGGAGAGACACCTGTTGAAGCCAGCTGAGGAGAGAATAGAAACCTCCCAATGTCCCAAAGCTGAAAATGTAAAATGCTTGTTCAAATCTCCGTTGCAAAAGCAAAAAACTTTGTTCAAACCTCCCGGGGAAGAATTTGAAAGCAAGTCTGGTAAAAGAGAACCAGTTGACTCTCAGACCCGAAAAGAACTATGGGAAATGACTGATGGGAAATGATATAAGGAAAATGATATAAGGGACTGATATGGGACTGATATTATTATGGACTGATATATGGGAAATGCATTCTGGGAAAGGTAGTTTTTCCGCTAAAGATGGCGACATTGCCCTGAAACACGTTTGCCAGCTCAAAAATACGTTCATGGTAAATTTAAAATACAGCTTTTAAAAGAATAAGGAGGAAAATCATCTAAGAGTTTAAGTGTCAGTTCCAATGAAAAATTGAAAGGGTACGGAACTAGGTGCTTAGCGGTTTGGGGCTCCTTGGTAAAATGCCTTATTTACCCTAATAGCTGTGCAAAGTTTTTATGGTAGTTGGATGACAAAAAGCTACCTTTAAGATCTAACAAGCCACTTTAAAATCCTTAAAACAAGAGAAAGCAGTTTATACACTGAACGTTGTCTTAGATATGAAGAAACTTATGTGAAATTAAAAATTATTTACCTCTTGAACAAACAGCCTGCAATGAGTGATTCCTTTGCAAATCTAATTAAGGGGATAAGAAACAGGCATTCAAAAAGAAATGACTACTTTATAGTGGGAAACAAACTTAAGAAAATCTAGCTGTCTTACAAAAGAGTTGCTTCACCTGAAAGTTCCTTATAAGAAATCAATGCTAAATATTACAGCTGCTAACAACATCAGGAGTTAAAGCTAATGAAGTGAAAATCCTAAATACAGTTCGAAGCCGTGCCACTTTTGGCTTTACTAGCTCCTTTAGAAAAATACTTTATATCACCTAATAGCTGTGCAGTATTTGGCGAAGAGCTTTACAGCAGCTAAATACGGTAATTTCTCCCTCAGCGTGAATTGAAGTTTTTCCTATGTTCTGTTAGCAAGAAAATTCAAATGATTGAGTTAAAGTTGTAAGACGGAGAAAATTGTTAACTATATATAGCACCATATATGCTAATTCAAATGGTTCTGTTAAGAGTTTGCTTTGAGTTGTAAGATTGAGAGAATTGTGACTATGTATAGCAATGTTTATGTTAACCTGTTAATGGTAATGATGAAACTAAGGGATTCTTTAAGTTTGTAGTCGCCTTAAGAGTTTTTGGCTTAGAAAGGGCTTGAGGCAGCTAAGACTGCTGTAGTCACCTTGGACCTAATTCAAAAGAGAAATGCCATCTTTATCATCCTCTACTCCCATATTGGAAGGTGTAACAGCTATGGAGATTGCTGTAAGCCATTAATAGTTTTTTTTTATATATATTAAGAAAGGGGGACCTGTGGGAGCCCATTCTCTGGTTCCTCATGGCTTTACCCAGCATGTCCGCATAGAGGATGATTAGGATCACGGGCCTGAGTGCAGGTGTCTGAGATGGTCTGCAC